AACTTGCAATGATCCTCCTGCCTCAGCCTCCCAAGTGCTGGGATTACAGGTGTGCGCCACCACGCCCAGCGTATGAGGACTTTTAATACCCATCTTCTTAAGTTTCCTGGGGTCTGCTGCAATATTTTTTTGGTGGGGGGGGCCAAGGTTTACACCATCAAGGAAAGACACATATATTCTAGAAGAAGAATAGCATGATGACAGTGTGTATTTGCTGTTATTTTGCGATTTTTTTGTTTTGTTTGAGATGGAAAAGATGGAGGAGTCAGAAAAAAGCTATAAAAAGTAGCCTGAAATAAGGGTTACAGCGAAATCCCTTGGAAGAAAGAGTGGCGTGAAATCAAGAGCTTCCCAAAAGTACCAACGCGGCTGGCTGAATTGCCTAGGAATCCAAAGCTGTTCAGCATGGAGATCTCCCCAACCCTTTTCAGGATCACTGAAGTTGAGTCAAAGTGGCCAAAAAAAAAAAAAACAACAACAACAGAATGTGGCCAAACAATTTTGCCACCTGAAGCCCCGCAACCCAGGCTCTGATCTTGGCGCGCTCTGTGATGAGCTCTGTGACTTCAGGGAAGTTGGTTCCCCCTTGACCTGGGCCTTCTGACAGTGACATGAACGTGCAGACCCAAGGTGAGCTCACGGAGCAGCGCTAACTCTGTCTTACCACTCTGACATTGCATAGTGCTGTGCTGGGGTCGCAGATGACCAAGAAGAGTGTCTCCTGTAGAGGAGGGAGAGAGCTAAACTACAGCTCGATGTGCCTTTTCATTTCGGAGAACACCAGTGACCTAGCTTTGCCACAGCCTGAGTCTTGCGAGGGTGTCAAGGCCGTCTGTGAATGAACTGACCGGGGCCATTCTCTGGGGAGGGAGTGAGGCCGAGCTCAGTGTTTCCCTGGAAAGAGTGCCTACCTTGATGACATTGTCCTTGCAGTCCATCACCCGCTCAAAGGTCTGGCTGAGGGCCTCGATGTCCTTGTGAAGTTCTCTGGTCTTGATTTCCCGGAGGACAGTTCTCCACTGCATGTTGATCTTATTAAGGTTCAGGGCACTGTTGTGCTCCTCCTTGGCCAGCTTGTCCTGTGTGAAGGCATAAACGCAGCGCCAGGAGCTCAGCGCCCAGAGCCCTGGCCACCCAGCGCAGCAAACAAGGTCACTCTGAAGGGCCAGGGATGTAGCTCAGTGGCATAGGCGTAAGCCTTGGGTCATGAGTTTGATTCCCGGTACAAAAAAAAAGAGACTGCTCTGAAGTTGTAAGCGGGGGCTTTGCCACTAGTGTTTTCCGAGGGCCTCAAGCTGCCGAGGGCTAATACTCAGAGGTTCCTTTTTTTGTGGGGGGGGGCCTGGAGTAAGTTAGCAACAGCCTGATGGCGTTTTAGAGAGGTTTCCTTCCCGACAAGGCACCAGCCTGGTGCTGTTTACAGCCCCACCTCCAGGGAGACTGAGAATCCGGGACAGCACCTACTGCCGTGGTTCTGGGGTTCAGTAGAGATGTCAGCCTCCATTGCACCTGCCCCCTCCATGCTCCACAGGGAGCTTCCACCCTCCCGAACAAGACTGCCAGGAATCTAAGTGTATCTGGGCCCCAGGATTTCCTGAGGAAGAAATGCTGGTGTGAAAAGGAGCCGGCCGCAACGCCCGGGCGCAGGCGCGGCCGAGGCGGCGGGCGGGGTGGGCGAGGCGGCGCGCAGAAGGCCGTCACCTTCAAGAACTGGCTGAGGAGCCGCTCCTTCCTCTTGGCCATCTCCTCCTCGGCCAGCAGCTTCTGCTGAAACAGCAGCAGCTGCTCCTCGTTGGAGAGCGACATCTTGGCACCCTTCCCTTTCTTAGGCATGGCTGGGCGGGGACTGGCTCTGGGCTCACGTTAGAAGGGTGAGGGGAACCCCCTGGAAAGGCGCCTCTGGAACTGCCTACGGCACCACCGAAGCAGGACCACAGATCCCAGGTCTGGGGCAAGAGAGGGCAGCGATCCGCGGGAGCCCGCTCTCCTGCGGAAGGAAGCGTCTCGTCTCCTAGCAACAGGATCGCATTAAAACAGCCGGCCGAGAGGCGGGGAGACGAGCCCTCGCTTGGAGCGCCCCCTGTCCGCTGGAGGACCGCGGTCAGATTTTGTGAAAGGGTCTTTCCATGGATCAAAACCCCTAATTTCATCTGAGTGCAGTGGTGTGTGGCTGTGATCCTAGCTACTCAGGAGGCTGAGGCAGAAGAATTGCAAAACAAAAATAAAATAAAAAGAGCTGGTGATGTAGCTCAGCAGTAGAACGCGTATTCGAGTCCCTGGATTGGATCCCCAGCACCAGGAAAATTAAATGAAACAAAACCCATAAATTATCATCTTTTTCTTTTTCAATCCCAGGAATGGAACTCAGGACCTTGCCTTACCAGGCAGGTGCTTGTGCCGCTGAGCTGTATCCCTAGTCCTTTTTTCTTTTGAGATGGATTCTCACTGTAGCCCAGGCTAAACTCAAATTAGCTATGTAGCCCAGGCTAGCCTGAAAATCCCAATCCTCCTGCCTCTGCCTCCCAAGAGCTGGGATTACAAGCATGTGCCACCACGCCTGGCTCAGAACTGTTCTGTTGTTTTTGAGATGGGGTTTTGCTATGTAGTTCAGGCTGGTCTTGAACTCACAGTGATCGTCCTGCCTTAGCCTCCCACGTCCTGGGATGACAGGTGTGTGTCACCATGCCTGGCTTTCAAAATTCTCAAAATTGTTTTTAATGTGAAATGTAATGCTCATATAGGGTTTTCCAGAGAAACAGAACC